GTTGACCCAATGATTTTTGGTCGGAATGAAGTTGTTTGTTATAATTATTTAAGGCGTCACTCGAACAGCCTTCATTTCTACCAATGTTTGAAAATTCAGGAGATACTTTAGGGCTTTCTGACGGACATTGAAGTGTTACAGAATTCTTAGGATCTACTGAAGTTTTAGGTGCAAAGATAGAAGGCCGTGAAGAGTGGTTCACTGGACAAGACGCAGTAACTCCCGCTGAATTTGATGAATTTGCTGAATTCTCCGACATTAGCGTTAGATTCAAAAAAAATTTTTCATAGTATATATAATCACATGTTTGAACGTGAGATAGATTCGCAAAAATGCTATTCTTGATGGATCGGCAGTATTGAATTTATTTAATATCGATATACTTTGCTGTAGTATCGGTACGTATAGCATTTTAGAGATCCTTTTTTAGAACCCTATCAAGAATGGTACAGTATGTAAATTTTTTTTCGACATTTTCTTTGACTGATTATCAAAAAATTTTTTACATTGTTACACATGATTTTAATCGATAATCGTTTATTTTCGTACTATATATAGCTAATTTACATCAGGGGTACTAATCAAAAATGTTTAGAACTCCAATAAACCTAACTCTAACTAAAACTTGAATCTTGTTATAACTTTATCTCATTTTAAAACTATACTCTAACCTTAAAAAAAGGACAGTGATGATCACTACCGGTTATTTGTGCAAAAATACCATTCTTGATGGATCGTCGGTACTGTTTTTGATAGGTATAGTACGCGACACTTAAAGACTACACAAACTTTAAAAGTCAATAACTTTTAATCTAAAAAAGATATTTTAAAAAGGAAGCCGCTAATTTGTAGCTAAATCAATTTATTACAACTTAGCGGTCTTATTTTTTAAAAAATCATAAAAACTTTTCAAAATATATAGTTTTAAAAATAGAATTAATGTAAATATACCCTATGGGTACATTAAATTTTTTTGTATTCTTTTAATCATACAATATTACAGTAATACCAATATTGTTTATATTGGTTTAGAGTTAGGGTGAGAATTATGTTAGAGTTAGTGTTTAGGCAGTTATATAGTAAAATCACTCAAAGAAAATTTTTTATTAATATACAAAAGGTGGTTTAGTATACAATTTCTTGTAAAATTGATGATTTTTGTCAAAATAAACATTTGTTTTAAATTTTTCTAATCATGTAATATTATACCTGATTTTGAATTTTATGGTAATCTATATAGGTCATATAATGCAAGTATATATACCTTAGGGTACATATAAATAAATCTTTAAAAATATAGTATTTTTATATGATACATAAAAATTTAACCAAAAATAAGACAAATTACATGTTTTGATTTCTTGCTATTGGCAAATTTTAAAATTATTTTTAAAATTATTTTTAAAATATTTTTTATTAATTAATTTTTGATCAATCAAAATACATATATTAATTTTACAAACTACAGAAACTTAAACTAATTTATTTATAATCTAAATCTATTAGAATAGTTTATACTCTACATATATATTATCTAAATTTGCACTTTATAACTAACTATTTTTAGTAATCACTATATTCTTTCATGTTTCACATAACCAGTAATAACTTCCAAGTTGGTATATTAGATGTTTATTTCTAATAAACTTCCAAATTGGTATACTTGCAAATATGATTCACTACAAGTCTTCTTATAAATTCTATTAATACAACTATAATTAGTGCAAATAGTTTTTTTTATAGCCTGTATCTCAAACTAGAAACTTGCTATCTAATTAGGTTTATCATATGACTGAGTTGGTATTCTATTGATAGATTAAAACTTATCTTAGATTTATACTAATTAGAACTAGTTTGTATTTTTTTTATTTTTTTATAAATATCTAATCCTTATACTTATCTGTCTAGATACTACTAACCTGTATCTCAAACCAAGTTTCTGCTACTACTACTAGTTTGCTATTCCAGAACTTAATATTCTTTTTTTGGTATAGTAGTACTAACTAACCTGTTTGTATTTCCTTATATAGTATATTACCAATACCATATTTCATAATACTGCTTTAATATTCTACTGTATATGATTATCTATATGAAATATATAAACTGTTTTCTTTATATAATATTTTTTTCTTTTTTTTTAAATATATATGTAGCAAATAGGCTAGTTAAAATATGTAGAGATGAATATGATATCAAAAGCTAATCTGAATTTGTTAATAAAAACAATACAATCCAAATTCGCTAAATATTTTTGGGCTGAATATACAAATAAATAAATTTAAGTATTCGATATACATATAATATGCATATAATACTTTATAAAAATCTTTACTATTTTATTCAAAAAAAAAGGGTGACAGATTATATTAAATAACCAGACCAATTAAATTACTATTATATGGTACTTGTAATTTATAAATCTGAGATTAGCTATTATAGGGTATAAATAAAATATATATAACAAAGCTTTACTGCAGAATATAAGGATTACTATATATAATAATATAAGAATTAGTCTATACCGTTATAAAGCTTTGGATATAATTTTTTAAATTGAAAAATTGATATTTAATCAAATTAATATAATTTTTTGATTGTAAATCTAAAATTAAAAACTTGCATATAAATTAGCCATTTTATACATTTAGAATCAACAATATTATTAATTAGCTAATTAATATAGATTATCTTCTGCATAAATATACAATAATTTATATTTAGAATCAAAAAATAGATATATATAAGTAAAAATCTTTGAATTAGACTTATACTAAATTATAATATAATAATCTTAACAAAAATTATTATTACAGATAGAGCATCTACTTAAGTATATAATCTGATAATTTATTAATATTTGATCAAAAAGTCTGAAGCCCTATAATGATACAGATTAACCTATAAGATCCTTTTTTTTTATTTTTTTTAAACTTATTGGTAGCCTCGTCGGTATCTTTATTAGATCAAAGCATATATATATATATATTAACTATCTAAGCTACAGATCTGATATCTCTTAGCTATCCTAAGGGCACCCAAGAGTGGTTTGCCTCATCAGATAAGGCTTATGCCTATACTAGAAGCTGCACCAAGCTAGCTTGCAAAACTATACTAGAATAGTTTTGCTTTATTTACAATATAATTTTTAATTGACGCAAACCAAATCAAATTTTTTTGTTTTTTTGTTTTTTTTTGTTTTTTTTTGTTTTTTTTAACTTTTCTCTTGGTTTGATCTTGATTCTCAAGAAACTCCCCTGTGGTCATACGTAGTTGCTTTGTGTTGAAACCAGAGCTCTCTGCATTCGGTTTCTATTTTCTCTTCTTTTTGGTATCTATGCCTTCTTCTTTTTTCTATTCATTGATGGCTAAACATCTCTGTTTCTAAATATTCTCATAAAAGAAGTTCTATGCTAAGTTTATTGCTACCTCCAAGTAATTTTTTACTTCTTTCACCAGTTTCATAATGCCAAGCAGTTTTCTAAAAACTTCTTTCTGAACTAAACTCTTGAGAATACCAGCTCTTGTTCTAATCCTTTCCTCTCTTATTGAGCTCCAAAAAATGTTCTTGAGTTAGATTTTGTTAAGTTAACTTTTCGTTTCTGTAGATATAACTGCCCAAGCTATATTTGATATAGTTTGTTCTAATTCATTCTATCTTTCTTCATACTTTTCATATTTCATTAGATGATTTGGTCTTCTTCTTTATTTTTCTTGCAAATTACACAAAGGGCTTTCATATAGGTCTGGTCTTCTAGTAGCCAGAATTTTAAGAACTAGTAATCTTTCATGTAGACACTTGATCAGAACCCCTAACTGTTGGTTCTTCTTTAAGTTAGTGCATTTGTTTCCATTTTGGCTTCTGATTTTTCTCTATAGGATCGGCTAATAGTTTATTTCTAATGTATTTTCTAGTTTTTCTTTTTGTATTGTTACTAATATTCTCTAGTCCAAACTTATTTGAAAACAAAGAACTGTTTAGATAAACTGTCTTGTAGAGTCTTCTACTATTTCACTTTCTTAACACAAAGAAATATTCGACTTTTAAAGGGTTTCTCTACTATATTCTCCTTATTATCTATTTTAGAACCTAACTTTACTAACTTATCTGCCAGGTTATTCCATTTATTCTCACTATGACCTTTGACCTTAACTAATTCTAACTATATCTTTTTAATCTTAATTATGTCAACTATACTATTTACTAAACTATAATTTCTCTTTTTAAAGATTTGTCACATTATTCTCTTTTTTCTCTTTCCTTCTATGCTTTCTATTGCTATTGTACTATTTGTGTATATTTTCACATTTCTTTTTCTTAGTACCAGAAGAAGTATATACCAAATTCTGAGCAATTTTGTTTTTGTCATTGAAGGCTAGTTTTTTTGCTCTGAAGAAACTCTTATTTATCTTTTGGCTTTTGTTTTCATTAACTTGTACTCAGCTAGCTCCCATCTTAGCTGGTTTGTTCGAACTAATCTACAAGATCTTTTTACTACCATAAAGTTAATTACTCTAGTCATTATAGCAATTATTAACTTTATTGTTTTGGGCTAAGAAGGTAACTTCAGTTTTGAGATTTAACTATATATGTTTATTAGTTCTAAATTTAATAAACAAATAGTTTAGTTATTATAGTAACTTATATATTATAATAAGGGGGCTTCCAGAAATCAGCTGATTTCAGGGTGGGTAGGTGGGTCAGCTAGTATATTAGGTGTAATTCTGGCTAGAAATATCATGTTTTAACCAAAATTAAAAAATATTTTTAAGCCAAATTATAAACTTGTTAATAATTAATTATAAACATTTAATTATT